CTACAGATATCCGTGCCGGCAAAAGATGCTGCTACATTAACGGAGAAGCTGCTTCAATCCAAGGTAAGTTGCGTTCTTTTTGATATTTTTGCATCTCTGTATCGCATATTGGTTTTCAGAATGGTACGGTGAAGTTAGCTGGATTAGGAGCGCGTGATGCGCTACGAATGGAGGCTGGCTTGTGCCTTTATGGAAACGACATTGACGAGAACACAACACCAGCAGAAGCTGGACTTGCTTTTGTTGTCGGTATGTGCAGATGCATTCTTATACCTTCATTTGTTTCCGCTTCTTCTCTTTTTGAATTATCAAAACTTCATCGTTTTTAAAACAAGTTTTTGGTGATTTTTTAATTGAGCTAGATTGAAATTTAGTTGGAAAGGGATCTAATCCCAGCTGCGTGACTCACATGCTCGTGACTTTTCTAATTGCTGAAAAGCAATATGTAAAGATTTATAAATGTAGCTTGATCACTTTAATGTTGCATGATCCAAGAGTATAATATTGTCGCCTCCCTTTACACTAAAATTTAGCAAAGCGCCGCCGTGAAACCTTGGGTTTCCCTGGTGCAGAGAAGGTGGTTGGCCAGCTGAAATCGAAATCCTGGCCAAAGCAACGTGTTGGACTGATTTCGGAACCCGGCCGTGCTCCAAGAGGTGTTAACTAACCTTCAATTGTTGAAAAATCAGCTATTATAGCGATTTTAGCACATCTACCTCTGATGGATCCTCTGGACAAAAGTGCAATTGGCTTTGTCACATCTGGATGTCCATCTCCATGCCTAAGTGAGTTTTCTATGCATTTTGTTTTAACAAATTACACTTAATTATCTGATTTATTTAGACCAGAACATTGCAATCGCCTATGTTGACAAGCCATATGCAAAAGTAGGAAAGACAATTGTCGCCGACTTTGGCACCAAGCAAGTTAAGGTCACCGTGACCAAAATGCCATTTGTGCCGACTAAGTATTATACGAAGTCTTCCTAGAAACCATACATTCCGAGCTGTTGCTTTATGATTATTTTTGTTTGTTTGTTTCAACTCACTTGCTTGCATCAGGTTCACAGCCTTTTCACTTTTCACCTGTGATACAAGTAGATCGGTAGATCTATGTTTGCTCATGTTGTTTTCTAGATTTCTATTTTGTTAGATATTAGTCTGCAGAAAAATCCAGGAGTTGTTGATGTTTAAGTTGAATGAATAAAATCCACATACTAGATTGGCATTTAATAATCACGAATTTTGGTTCTATCGCTGTGATACCTCCTTTTCCCAAAATGAGGATGATGCTTTGTGGAAGGGCCATGTTCGAGATTTTCAAATGGATTGGGGAATCCCGGGAACTCTGAAGAGAGGATATCTCTTGCTTGCTGATACATGAACGAAGATATGTCGTCCATAAGATCTTCAATCTCTGGCGAGGGTCCCTAGATATTTTTCACTATAGTGCTCA